GCCTCGTCTGTTTCCAAGGCCTAGTTATGGCCATGTTTCGCCAAACAATTGTGAAACTCTGCATGCTTTAATATTTGGCAGTGGGTATTTTACCGGCACCGACAATATAGTGAATAGTGAAATTTAATATTTACTTTTGAAAATTACGAACATGTGCACTGTCAAGAACATAAAAGAGTCTATATACCGGTAATTAAATAAGAAAACAGCTAACCGTTGAATATTTGAGATACATATAATCGTTTAAAATCAATTAATTATCAGTCAACGTGAAAATAAGAATTTATAACAAGAAATAAAAATTAAAATATTGAGCATCCATTTGTTGCAATGAAATCATATCAAATCGTGTAGTTAAAATTATTTCTGGAATCAGTCACAGTCTATTGCTACATGTATGCATAAGAAAAAAATCTCAGATTTTTTATAACTGTATGTTTTAACTGGAAAATAAAAGTTAATAATCTCCTAACATCATAAATTTGATAAAACAATATACAATATAACAAAATCAATCACATAGATTCAAAAATCAAAAATGTTAAATTAAATATGCTTTTGAAATAATATAGCCAGTTCTTTGAATTGCATATATGTAAACGAAATAGTTTTAACCTGGCTTTCGCTTATACCTAGAGCCGGCAAAATGGCATATTTTCTATTTTTCCAACGCCGGCAACACATTCACTATGCCGGTGCCGGCAAAATAGCCACTGCCTTAATATTAACGTAATGCAGAGTTTTGCAATTGTTTGTTGAACTGCATGGGCAGTTCATGTATTCACTTAATATATAATGTATAGCTGAGTTGACCAAACAATTGTAAAAGTTAGCATGGCTTATGGTTCATCAAACGGAATTTAAAAATAAGGCCGTGTTTACGCCACGTCGGGACAAAATCTTCTCCGAGTACAGACAAACCGATGCACCAAGGAAAGTTTTAAGGCATGGCTAGACCTAGATATATTATAGTTATATGTTATTTGTAGTATATGTTCCAGAATATTAAAAACTTACCTAGATTTTGATGTGCGTTTTTTTTTTCCAGTCTGCAGAAGATAGCAAAATAAACAAACAAATGAGTTTCATTTGATACGGTAAACTCAGTTACACAGTTTGAATAACCTATTGTTTGTACATGTCTATTGCCCATCGATTGTCCATTTAAATCAATACAACTCACAACATTTAAATATGAGGGGGCTTCTCAAACCTCTTTCCCAACTTAGTTTATTTTGGCATCAGTGTTTGGCACCTTCTGCAGTAATGAAAAAAAGATAAATATAGGAAAATCCACAAGAAATTTGTTTTGCATGCACACGTATAAAAATTGCGGTTTTTATCCAACGCAATCATTATAGGTTTGAACGTTGTTTTCAATTTAGACTTTATATCACTGTGTATCATCGCCACCGGAAATTGGGTACTTACGAAGCGAAGAGAAAGGAAAAAATAAATAAACAAGTCTAGAATTCCTTTAATTTAGACCACTTCTAGCAGTTTGATGAGGGCATTGCTTCTGAAACGATTTACTGATATATAAAGTTTTAATTTTTTATACCAACAAGTAGCAAACAAATACAAGATTTTGTGTAATACTCCAAAATGGTGCACTTAGTACCAGAAAATTTCGAGGTCAATCGCCCTTCGTCGCCCGTTTGCACGATAGTCAACTGTTTTTCATTTTTTTTTACAGACACATAATTAGATTATGACAATATGACTTCATATTACTGAAATTCGCTATTAAAAAGATGTTTTCAAAAGAATATGATCAAAACAGTGTTTGTTTATTGTACGGAAACTTGTATTGTAAAGCAAAATTCTATCCGGATGAAATATCATCTGGGGGAAAAAATGTTACAGAAGTTGTTGAAATTCTATCTGGGAAGTTAAAATATTGAATATATATAGTTAATAAAAAAAACTTAATCTTTGCAAATACTATGTACTAATATAATAGTGTATTTGAATATAAGCTAAATTAGAAAATAAAAAAGAAAATAAATGTATAATAATGGGAAATAATTTCGCAGGTTATAATTGAAAATAATATCCTGAAATATTAAAGTAAATATCATTCTTTTAAAAGACAAATATCACGAAACATATGAAACAAAACCAGAAGTAATTTCACAGATCTTAATTGTAAAATAATATCATGATCAAATTTAATATATAAAATAAGGTAAGTGAAATACAGGTAAAAGTGAGTTGTTTTCAGATCTCAGTACAAATAAAAAAGTAAATAGAAATATATTTTTTTTAAATCATGTTTTAAGTCATCTTTTTATATAAATTAATATAAAAAATTAAGAATAAAGGAAAAATTTCACTATGAAATAGATTCTGGTCTCTGGAATATAATATCTGTAAAATATAAATGGCTCATAAGTACCTCCCTTTGATTGATAAATTATGCAAATATTTTCTACCTTGGTGAAACATTTATAATTATGGTCAGGTATATATTGATTGCGAGTACCTTACATAGTAGACAGTGGGACTCTATTTCGCAAGGTTCTGTGAAATATGGAACGGAAAATATATACTGTTAAATACTGTCCGCAAAAGACAGATAGAATTTCACTCCTCTGGATAAAATCTATCTGTGAAATACCATGTCTGGAAAAAAATTTCTGTGACAAATTATCCCCAGGATAAAATATCACAGAGGAAAAAATAAAGCGTTACAAAATATCTCGAAAATACAACACCTACCAATGATCCTTTATGTTTTCCCTCTTAAATACATTGTATCTCAACTTGTTCGATTCGCTCGTGTATGTAACAACGTATTTGATTTCAACGAAAGAAATCTCTGTATTACTGAAAAATTATTACACCAGGGTTTTCGATATCACAAACTAGTCAAAACATTTACTAAATTTTATCATCGGTGCAAGGACATCATTCGTAAATATAAATCAACATGCAGACATCTTATACGTTCAGGTATTTCACATCCAATATTTTATGGTAATATTCTTTACAAAGCACAAAAATGTCGGCATTCACATCAAAAGCTAACAAAACCGTTAAACAGACTTATTCGGAAAGGATATAGTTACGATAATGTTGTCAAGTCATTAAGGATTGCATATTTTGGTTTTAATATTGATTCACTCATAGGGTCTTTGCATCGGAAATAAACACATTTATTCTAAAACCAGTTGTTGGCATGACACGGGTTATGTTCTTCTCATATATTTTATGATGGTATGATACTAAACCCCTAACGGGAGGGATTGTACTTGATTTTCATATGATGAAGACATAATCTTTTAATGAGTTTAATTGAGGTCTGGAGCTGGCATGTCAATAACTGCTAGTAGTCCTTTGTTCATTTATGTATCATTGTCATTTTGCTTAGTTTCTTTTGTTACCTATTCTGACATCGGACTCGGACTTCTTTTAAACTGAGTTTTACTGTGCGGATTGCTATGTGTTTCTTTATTTTACATTGACTAGAGGTATACGGGGAGGGTTGCGATCTCACAAAACATGTTTAACCCCGCCGCATGTTTGCGCCTGTCCCAAGTCAGGAGCCTCTGGCCTTTGTTAGTCTAGTATTTTTTTATACGACCGCAAAAAAATTTTTGTGGTCGTATATTGGTATGACGTTGGCGTCGTCGTCGTCGTCGTCGTTGTCGTCGTCCGGCGTCGTCCGAAGACACATTGGTTTTCGCACTCTAACTTTAGTTTAAGTGAATGGATCTCTATGAAATTTTACCACAAGGTTCAATACCACAAAAAAAAGGTTGGGATTGATTTTGGAGGATATGGTACCAACAGTAAAGGAATTAGGGGCCAAAAATAAGCATTTTTGTAACTTCCAGACATAACTTGTGTGTTAGTGTATGGATCTCTCTGACATTGTACCACAAGGTTCCATATCACAAAAGGAATGTTGGGATTGATTTTGGGGGTAATTGCCTCAAAATTTTAGGAATTAGGGGACAAAAAAGGGGCAAAAAAACAAGCATTTTTCTAGTTTCATGACAATAAATTGTGTGTAAGTGTATGGATCTTTTTGAAATTGTACTACAAGGTTCCATATCACAAAGGGAAAGCTGGAATTGAGTTTGGGGGTAATTGCCCAAAACGTTTAGGAATAAGGGGCCAAAAATAGCAGTTTTCTAGTTTCCAGACAATAACTTTTGTTCAAGTGTATGGATCTCTCTGAAATTGTACTGCAAGGTACCATACCACAAAGGGAAGGCTGGGATTGATTTTGGGGGTAATTCCCTCAAAATTTTAGGAATTAGGGGCCATAAAGGGGCAAAAAACAAGCATTTTTCTAGTTTCAGGACAATAACTTGTGTGTAAGTGTATGGATCTTTCTGAAATTGTACTACAAGGTTCCATATCACAAAAGGAATGCTGGGATTGATTTTGGGGGTAATTGCCTCAAAATTTTAGGAATTAGGGGCCAAAAAAGGGGCAAAAAAAAAGCATTTTTCTAGTTTCATGACAATGACTTGTGTTCAAGTGTATGGATCTTTCTGAAATTGTACTACAAGGTTCCATATCACAAAGGGAAAGCTGGAATTGAGTTTGGGGGTAATTGCCGAAACGTTTAGGAATTGGGGGCTAAAAAGGGGCCAAAAATAAGCATTTTAAAAATTTCTAGTTTCCAGACAATAACTTGTGTTCAAGTGTATGGATCTCTCTGAAATTGTACTGCAAGGTACCATACCACAAAGGGAAGGCTGGGATTGATGATGGGGGTAATTGCCTCAATATTTTAGGAATTAGGGGCCAAAAAGGGGCAAAAAACAAGCATTTTTCTAGTTTCAGGACAATAACTTGTGTGTAAGTGTATGGATCTTTCTGAAATTGTACTACAAGGTTTCATATCACAAAGGGAAAGCTGGTTTTGAGTTTGGGGGTAATTGCCCTAAACGTTTAGGAATTTGGGGCCAAAAAACACATTTTTCTAGTTTCCAGACAATAACTTGTGTTCAAGTGTATGGATCTCTCTGAAATTGTACTGCAAGGTACCATACCACAAAGGGAAGGCTGGGATTGAGTTTGGGGGTGATGAATCATAAGGGGGTTCAAAAAATTTGATGCTGATTTATTTAGATATTTAGATTTTTTATTATGGGCCCAGTTTTCAAGTTGGTCTAAATCGGGGTCCAAAATTAAACTTTGTTTGATTTCAACAAAAATTGAATATATGGGGTTCTTTGATATGCTGAATCTAACCATGTATTTAGATTTTTGATTTTTGGGCCCCGTTATCAACTTTGTCCACATTGAGGTCAAAAGGGTCCAAAATTAAACTTTGTTTGATTTCATCAAAAATTGAATTCTTGGGGTTCTTTGATATGCTGAATCTAACCATGTATTTAGATTTTGGATATTGGACCATAATAGGTGAATGTCCAATTTAAAATTTTTAAGTTCTTAGACCACATTCATTCTGTGTCAGAAACATATGCTGTGTCAAATATTTAATCACAATCCAAATGCAAAGCTGTATCAAGCTTGAATGTTGTGTCCATACTTGCCCCAACTGTTCAGGATTCGACCTCTGCGGTCGTATCAAGCTGCGCCCTGCGGAGCATTTTATTTAATTTTAGTTCATTTATATGTTTTGGAGTTTAGTGTGACGTCCATATTCACTGAACTAGCACACAATTTTATTTAGGGGCCAGCTGAGGACCACCTCCGGGTGCGGGATTTTCAAGCTGCATTGAAGAACCATTGGTGGCCTTCGGCTGTTGTCTGCTCTTTGGTCGGGTTGTTGTCTCTTTGACATATTCCCCATTTCCATTCTCAATTTTATTATTTTGATTTTAAAATTTATTGAATAGATAAAATATAAACAATTTATTGTTTAGAAGGAAAGTAAACAAAATACTGTGTTTCCATTGCGTTTTAGGGGGAAATAATTAATACATTGCGTTTCGAACTAATTTTCTAGATTCTTTAAGTTATCGAAAAATAACTTCTTTTTTTTTAAGGGAGCTACCATTTGATTTATATGGGGGGATAGGATGAAAAAATTTGTCCTGCATTTAAAAGTTGTTATCTCTGTCCTGCTTTTTTATTTTTCACTCTACTCGGTCCTCTTCATTTGGACTTCCTGTCAAACGAGAAAGAATAACAAAGTTTGAAAGACTTAAAATGTCATTTTAATGATCAGTTTGTCACATTGACCACTCGTTTTCAAGACGATTCAATTAGAAAAGTTATTGTAAGTTGCGCCGGTTTCCTTCCAAACGACAAAATTGTCGAAAGACCCATAAAACAATCCTTATTTTTAAATTTTATACGGGACAAGAGACGTACCCAGGTATACATGTAGAATGATTCACTTCAGAAATATTTATCAAATTCATGTATTAGATGACATTTATAATTGTGTAACATGCCAGGAAAATATTTTCAGAGATATCTTAGCCCAATGTATGTGAACTTGCCGGAAAGTAAACATCAGTTTGTTGATAGTTTTCTGTAACTTAGTGTAACTGAAGAAGAGAAGAAGAACTTTAGTAAGGAAATATTCACCATGTCACTGTGTCTCGATACATGATCTTGACTGTCAATTCACCTTATCCCACCATTGCTGGACATCTATCTGAACATCGTAGATGTTCTGTAAAATTTAAATATCACAAGAGAAAATATCCGACTCCACCAAAGGTAAAGTGATTGTTATACAATGTATGACAATTGTTCAAGTGTCATATTTAAATTCCCGGGTCAAGGGGTCAAGTGTGACAGATTCTCAAAGATTCAGAATCTGCAACACTTGACCCTAAATTTGGGGTCACTTGAACTATTGATGTCATCCAACAATCACTTCAGCATGTTCAGTAGAGTTGCGTAGGCATTTCCTGATAAGACCTAAAAGTTGGCTTAATTGGTGGAAGAAGACTTCAAGTCTTCTGAAAGCCTTTACTGCCGGCTGTAAAATCATTGAACCGTTACGAGGACGTATGCCGTATCCCTTTATGTGCTTTACAATTTCATAAACGACCATTTGATATTCTGGAGGGGGGGGGGGGGGGGGGGGGGGGGGGCAGGAGGATTTTGAAAATAAATAACTCAGCCTTGATAATCACAAAAATAAATGGTTTGTTCTGTGGTAGTTTGAAAATAAATTACCTGACTTGCAATGTATTGAAAATAAATAACTCAGCAGGTCTAATCGAAAGTATGAGATGGCACCAGATTCTTCATAAATTAATCTTTTTTCCAAAAAAACAAATCGGGAAACACTTCCCATATCTTTTAATAATAAAAGTATAAATATTATTTAAATATACTTGAAATGTCAGAAAATTGGTTTCATTTAACTTGAGGTTAATTGTCTCAGGAACACTTACCTCACTTTTATTAAATCAGGGCCGTAACTACATTGAGACAAATGCCTCATGTAGGAAATTTCAAAACCAAACGCTTGTCTCCATATCAAATTGTGTTCACCGTGAGTGCCTTGCAAGAAGAAAGTTCTGTTCTCCCTCAGACGTAGCCCCTGATTTTTCGGGATCAATGTTTCTTATTTGTCTTTTGTTCATTGATTGCCCTTCTGTATTCTGTTAGTGTTGCATTCATTTTGTAATTTAGTAATTTTGTTATTAACTTGATCATGAGTTTAAAAAAACACAGCAGCCACAGACTTAACTATGTGAATTACATTTTTGCTTTTAATATCATGCATATTTGTCTTTTGATGTTGTTCCTAGAAACTTAAGTCTTACACTGAAACTATAACGTGAATTTGCTTTGAGACCAAAATATTGTCATAAAATTATGAAAACAGAACTTGCATTTTCAGTTTAAGAAAGGGTCTGGGGAACACCCAGAAGACATGATTTTGCATCATTTGTTCTATAGCTTCTTGGGCCTTCAGCGGTTCAAAAACCCTTCAAAAAAAATTTTGCCTCGCTCCGCTCGGCGAAACATGTTTGCCAATACTTTTAGAAGAGCCTTAGTTTCAACCAAACTTTAATACTGTGTATGTATGCAATACATGTATATGCATTGGGGGATATAAAAGATTCATTTCTGCAGAGGATAATATATAATTCTGATTAAATGGTACATAATGACTTGACTATACATGAATTATTTATAATAAACAAATAATTTAAAAATTGTATGTTTTCGATTATTATAAATATAGTTGTGAAAATAAATAATCAGTCCCTTGCTTTAATGAAAATGAAAAATCTTGCTTCAATAGTGCAGAAAATAGATAATCTGTCCTCTTAGTTTACAAAAATAAATAACCGATCCAAAACAAATCCTCCTGGCCCCCCCCAGAATATCAAATGATCGTCCTCTAATCAAATGTTTATGTCTTCCTACAGTGCATGTTTCAGTCTATGTCTATCTATGTGTAAACCCTATATAGTGCAAAAAATTTTTAGTCACATCTTAGTTGGTTAATCATTTGACTGACCACCAACTAGCTCTAGCATACATTACAAATTCAAAAATGTAACAAATAAAATTGAGAATGGAAATGGGGAATATGTCAAAGAGACAACAACCCGACCAAAGAGCAGAAAACAGTCGAAGGCCACCAATGGATCTTCAACAAAGCGAGAAAATACCGCACATGGAGGCGGGCTTCAGCTGGCCCCTAAATAAAAATGTGTACTAGTTCAGTGAAAATGGACATCATATATAATTATAATATGATATTTTTTTTCATTTTAGGTTTCTTAAAAGACGGAAGGAGACAAATCTTTGTTGTAATTTTCAGACTTTAGTATGTCTTAGGTCTGTTGTGAGGGGAAATTGTTGAAGATGGGAGAAAATTCACCCCCTCTTCCAAGAGGGTCTTACAATTTTAACTTTGATGACTTTGATGAAAACACAAATCCGTTTGAAACTAAAACAAAAGTGGAACAGTTAGACAATGATCTCCCAGTCGATCCATTTAAACCTAGTAAATCATTAAGTCTGTCTCCAACGACATCAAACAACAATATACATGACACTGTGAATAAAGAATTGGATCTAGTCAAACATGCAACAGAGCCAGTCAAGACCGGGAACAAGATCCCTAGGTCACCAGTTCAATCTCCAAATATGTCTGGTGACCAACAAGTTATGCAAATACAAGATTCTTCACCAGCTCAACCTGAATCATTATCACAAACACAAGAATCTCCCTCTCCTCCAGAGGAATCACCAAAACCTCAAAGGTTTGTAATGGTCTCATCTTCTGATATAAAAGTCTCAGCAGATAAATTTAGGTTTTTCTTTTCCATCATTAACATACACTATAATAAAATATTAATTATTCCGACCATCGCACGCAGAAGTAGTCAAGAACACAGTATTATTTTTTTCAGGGGTTGACAGGAAACATGTAATTGTCATTAGTTTATACTTCAAGGTTCTTATGCAAGCAAATTTAATAAACAATGCTTTTATATAGGTTTTTTTTGTTGCTTTCACTTTACATCGGCTTTATCTCTTGATCTTATTTCAGTGTGCACAGATCTGATTCTTCATATATCCCCAACCTGTGTTAAACTGTTTCATGTTGGACCAATCTGTTACTTTTAAGTGATTGAATTTTTTATATAGATTTGAAATTCTATGTGGCAATTCGGTATTACTGTCAAATTTTCTTAACTGTATATATCATATGTTTATTGTCAACATTGTTTCTTTCCAGTCAAAAGAAACCAGCAATAAGGAAAGGAATAAAGAAGCCAAAGTTAAGTAAGTCAAAATTGAAACCTGCACCAAACTTTGGAGCACAGGTACACATAAAAAAAACTAGTAGAGGTTGCATTACTGCCCAGCAATAAACAATCAACACAGGGTCATAGGTTACGTGTAAACCAAAACAAACTTAGATTAGTTTCCCTTTAAAAACAATATTTTCAATAAGTTAGAGAACTTTCAGCAACTGTCAAAATGACCAACAGTATTAAACACGCTGTTCCTTTACTTAGAATATGATATTTCTTTATATTATTATTTTGTTTATATTCTAATTAATTTGATTTCGTTCAGATAATATATATTTCTTCATATTATTATTTTGTATATTCTAACTAATTTGATTCGTTCAGAAAGAGTCACATGTTCAACTGTATTTTTAAAGGTAGACTGAAAACAGCAGATAGAAAGTGATACAATTGTTATTTTAAAATATCTAAAAATAGAAATATAAAAACCAAAATACTTGATGACACAATTTTAACAACCAATCAAATTAACTTCTGCTCTATTTCCAACATATTGACAATAATAATATAACAGTTGTAGCCTTTGTATGAGGTTGATATGAGGATATATATCAACCTCATACAAAGGTCATAATTGAATAGTATTTTTTATGTCTCTCATAAACATACAACTCATATCATTTCTTTTTAAATAATGAAAAAACAACATAATTTGTAAAGAAAAAAAAAAATGACGAAAAAGCTATGTAACTGATTAAGAAGTAGAACTGATATACTGTAATCCATTTAGACTACTGGTCCTCTACTTGTGTCAGAAAAATGTTTAGAATTAAAGTCATTGTTTTAATTTTTACTATTCCTATCTTTCAGAGTGATGAAATTGAAATCTTTGCTCCCCCACCAGTAGAAACTGAATAGCCAGAAACAACAGCCAATGAAAATTCCCCACCTAAACATGACAATACTGCTGAAAGTAGTGCCATTGAAAATATTGAAAATACTCCAGTTATATCACATGACAAGACTGCTGATCCTTTTGTTGAGGATGAACCACATGATGTATCACATGATATGAATGTAAAAAATAAATCTTTATTACTAGAATCCAATGATTTAGGTCCAGAAATGGCACGAAGTTTAGAAATGGTTCATGACTTTGGAGCGAATGAAATGCCAAATGAAGAAAACGAAGGAATTTCTCCAGCACCAAAAGGTAAAGCTTAAGTGCCAGTCTTTGTAAGAATCAGGCAATTTTGAAAAAAATTAAATCATGGCTGAAAAAAACGAACGACCTAACCATACTAATTTTAAGTTACTCTCATCCTGAGTTTGAAATTGTAGGTTTTTTGTTTCTGCGTGTCTGGTGATTCAGGAAATCTCTAGATAACTTTTGGTTAGAATGATAACAAATTACGGAGTTATTCTCCATAATTTTTAATTTCTAGTGTATTTCAACCAAATTATATCTTGAATTACCAGATGAGGAAAAGGAAACGAATGTTATATTCGTGCACCATTATACAATTTGAACATAAATTAATGTTAATTTGAGTGGGTTTTTGTTTGTCATGTTTTCACCACTGCCTGATCCTTAGGCAGACTGGCACTTAAGACGATCTGTTTTCCTATCAACCAACTAAACTATTACTTTTCGTTGTGTATTTCTCCTGTTTGTCAGTCTGCTAGGTCCAGAACTAAGCAATTACATGTAAAATGCATGGATTGATTGCTCTGAGAAACAAAAATCTTCTGCAATAAAACTGACAATCCTAGTCAATAAAGATTTGAGTCAAATGCACCTATCAAGAGCGATGTTGAATCTCACAACCTCAGTGTTGACATGCTGGTGATAAAGTAATTAGACCACAAGGTCATCAAGGCCCCACAAGGATTTGACCAATAATACTAACAGAAAAGAAGGTCCATGGAAAATTTTAGGCCATTAAGCAATTGAAAATCAATCATTTATAAAAATTGAGCATGAATAGTCAAAATTTTTGTCTTTTGTTTTAGAGATAAGTGACATTTTCACCATGGTTAATTTTCTTTTTGAAAAATGACCTTCATTTTACTAGGCTGGACATGCATGGAAGAATTAATATACATGTAATGTTGGTTTTTTTTAATTATCAGAGAATGTCAACTTTAGAACAATTTAATGATTATAGAATGGCCAAAGATAGTTCTGAAACTATTTTTCTGTCAGCAGTCAAATATAGGTATGACACTTTCATTCAACCAACAATACTCTACAATTAATACTTTTTTTCTTTCCAGGGTTCAGTGATTCAGTAGGTTTGGATATAGCTGGCGATGCTCAGGTTAGTAGCCCATTTAAAAACTGGTACAAATAGCACAAGCTTGTGTCACTTCAGAATTATGAATACCAGTTTTGAGTAATCAGCTTCTCCTACAGATTTCAAACCAGATTTTCAAAAATTCACAGAGATATTTGACGCATGTTGAATTTGTGCAGCTGCTAAAATAGAGTTATTTGAATATTTTTTTCCTATTTTTACTGAACTTTGTAACTTAGGAATTTTCAGCAAAATTTAAGGATGCGGTACCAGTTTTGTGAAATCAACTGCTACAGATTTCAAACCAGATGTTTGAAACTTTACAGAAAGATAGTACATATGTGAAAGTTGTGCTCCTGCTATTTTGGAATTGTTTCAGGAATTTTCTCTCATTCTTCCCGACTTTGAAACTTTCAGTCTTTGATCCATTTTTTTCCCTTTTGGGCTGATATTATTCTTCTGTCAAATGTCTATAATATTCATTGAACAAATACAGGTATTGGTTATGGTCAACCTGCCTCCAACTACCTTAAACTTGTCAAACATTCATCAAGGATAATTTTATTCACAGTTTCATTAACTAATTGGTATGCTGTTGAAACCAGAATCATTTGATGTACATGTACCCTCCTGTACCAATAGTCAGGATAAGTTTACTTATCCCTTCAGACAAGGGTATGTTGGGATTTTCTTGTCTGACCTAAATTTTTCTCTGGTACCCGACAAGGATTTTTACCTCTTACCTCTGTTAAGAAAACAAGAAATCTATATTATTTGTATTTTACTTTTTTTGTTTGTCTCTTAAACAAAATGAAATGTAATCTTTTGTATGAAATGATTATATATAGTGTGATATAATATGAGGGGCCTGATGGGTTATTTTCGTTCTTCGTGATCGGGGCATTTTCGCTATCGTGATCCGTTTTTCTACAGATTTTTTTTTTTTTTATATTTTCGTGATCCGTGATCATGGAAATTTATTTTCTGTGAATCGTGATTGACAAAAAAATCAACTTGTGAATCGTGATGAGACCCCCCCCATCAGGCCCCTCTAATATGGATAAACAGGTAATTTGCATCCCCTAAACTATTTGTATTATGAATCTCTTTGACCTGTACTGATGCAAATTATTTGTGTTGAAAATAAATTTGTTCCTAATTTCTAATTGATAACAATTTACTTTACAGATAAATTCAGTGTATCTTGCTGGTAATGCCAATGTAGAACAAGCTCCAAAATCATCAGGTAAGTGTGTCATTATATATATATATAGTAAAGTTTAAGTTTTTTGTTATGTACAACATATTATTAAATACTGTGAAAGTATTTTAATTCGTGGGTATCAATTTTTGTGGTTAGAGCAAAAGTTACATGTTTCGTGGGTTTTTAATTTCGTGGATTTTAGTTTTTCTATAAAAAAAACGAATAGAGCGTAGATTTGAAGCTATTAGAATCGAAGGTTACAAATTGTCTTGATTGAAGGAAACTGCAAAGTAAACATTTAAATTATTGCTCCCGTGTAGTGATGACACTAATTAACCTGAGATAGAATTCGAATGATCAACAGATATTAGACAATCAGAGGTTAATTAGGCCATAAACATGTCACTTAAAGAAAACAGTTACATAAACAAATGCTTTAAATGTACATTGAATTGTAAAATTAATTCTTATCAAAAGCAAGCCCAGCATGAAATTGTTATTTCCCGTACAAGAATTATGAGGATATAATAAATGAACACTTTATCATAGCATATCATCACCGGAAATCTGACTTTCATCGATCAAAAATATTTTTTATGAGAATTAAAAGATCAGAAGTTGTACAGTTTAGGTTTTTAAAGATTAAATGGGTATAATCCTGCCTGCAGTTGTAGTTCATAGTGCATTTGCCCCAGACTACTATTATAGTAGTCTCAGATTTGCCGATATTCATTGTATTCTCTAGATCATATCGGTAGTCAAACCTACATGGGAATCTTTTCATGTCTTGATTTGGACAACAGTTGTTATATTTCGTTGAACACTTAAATTCGTGGATAAAGTCATTCACGAAAACCACGAAAATTGGTTCCCCACGAATAAAAGTACTTTCACTGTAGATACATAAAGATAAACCTTGAGCAAGATTTTGACCAATATTATATATGAGGAGACTTAGATATAATGGATATTGAAAAGGTTCATATTTTATTTATGCAGATGTGTAAGTAGTTAGCTTTGATTGACTATGTCTGATGTTAATAGATTAATGGTTGTCTGTCTCTATTCATATGTACATCTTTGTAGTTTAGTTAAGATTTTCGGTAACCCATACTGCATAGTTAGCTTTAAAAAGCCATGAAATGACAAATGCATGATATATATGTCAAATTTGAGTTGTGACCTAGATTTCACAGCTCACTGAACATGAAAATGTTTCAGGTTAAAGATTAGCTGTTAGATAGTTTACCAAGTATGTTCCAAATGTTATAACTACAATCCTGACCCCTTTTCCCCGAATGTGACATACTGATTTAGAAATATTACTGGGTTTGTACTAACATGAGCAGCGCGGCGGGTGCCAAATGTGGAGCAGGATCTGCTTACCCTTCCAGTGCACCTGAGATCACCGCCAGTTTTTGGTGGGGTTTGTGCTGCTCAGTCTTTAGTTTTCTATGTTGTGTTTTGTGTACTATTGTTTGTCTCTTGTTTTTTTTTTCCTAATTGGCCATGGCGTTGTCAATTTATTTTAGACTTATGAGTTTGAATGTCCCTTTGGTATCTTTCGCCTCTCTTTTACCATGGAGTTGTTGTCACATCAACTTGAAACTTTGTAATTATATTCATTATGATGTGAATTTTTAGTAAAATATGCCAAATTAGAGTTTTGACCCAGAATTTGCAGTTCATATAACATGGAAAGGTTTCAAGGTTAAAGTTTGGCTGTTTACCATGAAGTTGTTGTCACAACAATTTGAAAATTAGTATACATGTTCATTAGAGAATGAACTTTTTAAAATATAGGCCAGATAATGGTTTTGACGCAGATTTAGTTGTTCACTGAACATGGAAATGTGATAGTGTGAGCGGTACATGATGTTGTCAAATGGACACATATTCTTGTTCACCATGTACTTCTAGCCCTTGAATTATGTAGTACATTAATGTTTAGCTTTCACCTGAGAACTTCGTCATGTTTTGCAGTTTATATCTTTGGTTTATTTAGTAGACAAACATTTATTTTTTTATCTTACAGTGCTGACAATAGATTTGCTTATTGTGATATCTGTGGATGCATTTAAAATATTTTAGTCACATATATATTAAAATTTTTCTAGGAAATAGTTTCTTAAGATCGTTGTTGAATCATGTTACCAAAAGAGGTTTAAAATTTGGAATGTAACTTAATCTTGAATTCTGATGCCTAAATGACACTAGTTAAAGGCTTATTTTGTCATGCAATTTCTACAAGTTTAACATTTCAGTAAACTGAAAAATCTTTTCTTCACTAAATACATTGGTTGCAAGTTCAAGTTTTAACAAATGTATGTATATATATATATACTGACTTTGGAAAAAATATATACTTTACCTTGTATTAAACTGAAATTATGTGAAAAATATTCTTACAATATATTTTAGTTGCATTTTGTTTTCAAATGAAATGGTATTAAATCTGCTCTATGAATAGGCTATGTGAAAATTTTATAAATGCAAGATATATGTTCATGTTATTTCATTTTATTATTTTATTATTTATATCTGCATATACAGGAAGCATGTAAAAAATTATCTCACGTCCTTTCCTTATTTTGTTTTTTACACTGTCTGTCCAAAACTATAAATAATAACTTTATGAAATGCCTTTATAAGGCACAAAAATAGGGATAGGTATTGAACAAGTGGTAGGAAATTATAAAAAGGTGCAGTCTCCTAATAGGGTGTTATTGTACTCGTTTTGTGTAGACTCACCATTGAAGAGCATACTTTCATGGAGTGTGAACTTTAGTTGTAATCTAATATTTTACTCAATATTTGGAAATGGCCTCATTTACTTTTTTCCCAAATCCATACTTTTTATGCAGGATGGGTCAACGCACGTCTCTTCTAGAATTACTTGAACCATGAACTAATATAGAAATCTTTGACAAAAAGATGTGATTTTTTTCTACAATTATATTATTACATATGTACAGTACTAGACTTGCATGAACCATCTTGTAAATTCAGTTTTATAAAAAAATTAAAGAAGTAATTTGTTGTTAATTTCTCCTTTAAGATTTGGCTGTGTCTTGAAGTTAAGAATTCTATCCCTTATATTAGAGTTGGTTGTGTATTGAAGTTAAGAATTCTATCCCTAATATCAGATTTGGCTTAGTCTTGAAGTTAAGAATTCTATCCCTAATATCAGATGTGACTTTGTCTTGAAGTTAAGAATTCTTTCCCTGATATCAGAGTTGGATGTGTCTTGAAGTTAAGAATTCTGTCCCTTATATCAGATGTGGCTTTGTCTTGAAGTTAAGAATTCTATCCCTTATATCTTGGAAGTTAAGAATTCTATTTCTAATATCGGTTTGGCTTTGTCTTGAAGTTTAATCGAAATTAGTGTACTGTATCATTTTATACAATTTGGAGTTGTTAAGTCTAGATATATATTCAGAATTGTATATTCATACAAAGAGAGGTAACTCTGTTATGTTTCAAAGATGTCATGATAGATTTAACATAGTTCCCAACAGTTTTGTTTGTAGTTTTTTTCTTGTGTTTAACTGGTAAAGTTTTGTATGAAGGTCTTTATTTCAGTAAATTCAAGTTTAAAAAGAATGGACATATCTTGGATAGAAATGAAGGTCCATGAATTTTGAGCACCTTCATCTTCAAGTCATAGAGGATAATGGTACATTTGTGTATTTAGTCAAATGTTTAAATGGGTTGTTTTACATACATTGCTATATGGTCCGAGTACACAGTTATTTCGTAGTGCATTTCTTTTAGACAATAAATGAAAATTAAAAAAATCCCACCTGCGCTTTCTCAATAATATTTTTACAGTGTTTTGTACTACTTTTGGGACAAATTATGTCAAAATTATAGAAAACTTCATCGGCTCTAACTCAAAATATTGACAATTTTATGTTAAGGGGGTCTTGAAATCTTTTGCCAGCTTCCGAAGTGCTTATTTTAAACCTTTTTCAGCTGGACCAAATCACTACTTTACTTTAAAATTCATGACCCAAATTTTTTTACAGTGTAATTTCATCCCCCTACTTGCTATTTGAGGCATAAAACATGGAGAAATAAATTTGGAAGGGGTATAAAAAAAATTGGCAAGTAACACACTGTCCACACTAGGGACTATATTTGTGGACAACGAAAATCAAAGGACGATAACTGTGTACTCGGACTAATCTTAATAAAACTTGGTATGACCAAAGCTTAATAAATTATGAGACTGCTTACAAAGTTTCATGGCAATAAGATATATATTAAAGACAATATGATAAATTCTATATTCAACTTTGCGTGTTAAATTTTGACGTTAAAATTGAAAAATTTCAACTATCAACATTTGGGGCTTTTAAAATTAAAACATTGCAAAAAAATACTTTTAAAATGCCTTAATATATATGTATCATGTATTAAAAACAATAGAGTACTCATTTGATATATCAGACTTAGCATAATTATTCAAAAGTCAAATTTATATGAGCCTGTGCCTAAAAATGGAGGTTTTCCAATGAAGGGGGGCCTTACATGAAGATGTAATATTTTCCAGCAATTTTAAATTTGTGAAGCTTTTTGGTTATAAATGATCCTTACATATGTATTTAATGTACTTTAAATGGAAAGAAAACTTACAAATAACATATCATATTAGTTTAAAAGGGTCTTAGGCCAAGTAAGACTGAAAATAATTTAGGGTCAATTTAGGCCATAGCACATATTTACATTTAAAAATGTATATTGAAACTATAGGAAATAAAAATGTGTGTCTTTTCTATCATTTCTATACTCAGGTGGCATGAGACAATAAATCTGAGCACAAAAAGACTCTTGCATTCAACTTTTTTTGCAGACAGTATGGTCTGATACAAAAAAAATAGTGAAAAACTTGCAGCCAATTTTAGTCTCAACAGGCTTATATTTGAACCACTTGCTATCCTACAGAAGAAAAGAAAGATATTATGTGAAATGAAACAGGTACAAAAGACATTGTTAAGTGCTTTTTATACAAATTTGGTTTCATTTCTCGATTGTAACATTTTGCCTGAATGTGAATTCGCATGACGTAGTAGCAGACGCTTACCCTGTCGATGCTCCTTTTGGCGCTGATGCGATTTCCCTAAGATTTTGTTTGTAACCTTAATTTGCCACTTTTCAATCGATTTACAAGATTTGAACATCGGCAAACTACTGTCGCCTTTAGTTACCCAATTGTAATTAAGCTATAGATATCGTTATTTGTGCATTAGTATGAATATTATATCTTTGATCTCTGGCATTCGTGCAAGTAACCGTCATGAATATTTACACTGCATTTATTTATTTGTTTAATAGAAAACGCCAATTTTGAAGAACTTCTTAGTATGTTCATGAAGATAAAAGAAACAGGGAACAGTAGTTATATTAACTTTATCTATAAATTCGTAATTTTCAAAAAACAAAAATCAAGGATACATACTAACAACATCCTGGAACTAAGTTCGTTTTTTAAATAGTTTACCATGTTTCATAAAATCACAGGTCAAATATATGTTGTTTTTTTTCAGCACAGAAATTAGTTAAAACAGATGCAATTTCAAGGGGTGTATATGCATATACAATTATACCAAAGTTATTTGGAACATGTGATTAAATTCATTTGATACACCGTTGTAAGATACACACACACACACACACACACACACATACCAGGAAACATTTTCAGCCTTTGCAGCTTCTTTAACTGATCCAAAAACCCTGGGAGCTGGCCAAATTGTCAAATTTAACAAAGTCTGGACGAATATCAATAATGATTATCATCCAAGTACTGGCGTATACACGGCTCCAATAGCAGGAGTGTACCAGTTCTCATGCTCCGTAATGACAGTAAGTAGTAAGTAGTAAAACCCTTCGTGTCTTCCTATGGAAAAACGACACAGAGACAGTAGCTATTTTTCCTGGAAATACTGGTCATAATATGGGTACTCTGAATATGGTATTAGAACTTAAGAAAGGCGACAAAGTATTCATCAAGCAAGGGAGGGCAGAGACATACATCTACAGTGAATCTAATAGCAACTTCAGTATGTTTTCTGGTTATCTTATTCGATGAATTACATGTATATGAATAAAGATAAAATTAAAATAAAGAAAGAAATTTTGTCTTTTTGTTCTTTTTGTTTCTATTGAATGTCAAAGCATTTTCAGGCAGACATTACATCTGATGCTAATAGCTAACAATTCGTCATTTTAGAAATATTTTCATATATTCTTAAAAAATACTTTCGAAATCGTTCATCAAGACATAGCACCACATACAAGACCAATTGCTTATAATATATTATTACAAGTTCCATCTAACAATCATAAGTATATTTGCACTACAGAAAAGTAGCTTGGGGTAAGCTAAATTTAGTCCAGATATTACAAGCATTGAAATCAAAAACTCCTCAACATGTGCAGTCATTCATCTTGCTGATTGCAAATGCCTTTGACACAGAAATAAACCCAGGCCCTAGGACCCCAAGATGGCCATGTGGAACATGTCAAAAGGCTGTTACATAGAAATATAAAGCACTATGTTGTGACAACTGTGATGTTTGGTATCACATTGATTGTCAATGTATGTCACCTCAAATCTATGGCTGTATGAATGCCAGTAACATCAGCTGGGAATGCATACCATGCGGTTTGTCCAATTTCTTAACCAGTCCGTTTAACCACTCGACCATTGAAACATCAAATCTGTATGACACATTGAATGATGACTCGGTATTGGGGAGCCCATGTGCTCCAAAAGCTACATCTTCACCAATACCTAAACAATGTAAAAATAAAAAGAAACAGCGCACTACAATTAAAAATAGAAAACCTATTCGAATTTTTAACTTTAATTTCCAGTCCATTTGAAATAAAAAAAATAACTGAACTCTTACAATTAACAGACTCTGCAAAACCAGATTTCATACTTGGTACCGAAACCTGTCTTGACAACAATTTATCCTCGTTCGAATACTTCCCAACAGATATCTATAGAACTGATAGACCATCTAGTAAAAACAACCAAAGCTATGGGGGAGTATTACTTGCAGTCACAAAAGAATTTGTTAGCACAGAAATTCAAGAACTAGAAATTCACGTGAAAATTTTCATGTGAGATTCACCTCAAACGAGCTTATACATGAAACTCACGTGAAAATTTTCATGTGAATTTCACGTAAATTGAGATTCACATGAATCTCACATGAATTTCATGTGAACTTCACAATATAAAAAATTGTTTTTTTTCCATGATTTTAATTAAATTTAAAAATTTAGATGTTATTTGAATTACTTTATTTTAAAAATTCATGTGAATTTCACGTCAAAAAAATTCAAGTGAGTTTCACATGAGATTCACGTGAAAATCGCATAAACTGATTCCACGCGAATTTCAAGTATAAGCTCGTTTGAGGTGAAATTAACGTGAATTTTATGTGAGATTCACGTGAATTTCATGTGAGATTCACATGAATTTCATGTGAGATTCACATGAAATTGATGTGAGTAAAATTTCCCTGTGTAACATATCAGGTGCAAAAAACCTTCTGGTTGGAAGTTACTATAGACCACCATCAGATGACGGGAACTCCATAAAACAAATAGATTTATCATTACGTAGAATAAATCAAACAGTAATATATAAGTAGGCGGTGACTTCAATCTTGGACACATTGTCTGGTCTGTCCCAGAAGTAATATCGGGGAAACCAGATCAAGAACAACACAATTCACTTCTAGAACTACTATATGATTATAATTTACATCAAATAGTGAACATACCAACACGAAAAGAAAGAATCCTAGACTTAGTACTTGTCAATAATCCATCTAACATAAATAAGGTCAGTACACTACCACCAATTGGCCTTAGTGACTCACGACATCGTCAACGTAGAACCTGACATCTGGTTACGCCGGTGAGAGAAAAACCTAGAAAAATACTAAAATACAACAAAGCTAACTGGAGTAACATCAAGTCAGATCTAGAAAAAAACATTATATGATCTACAAAACCTAGATGACAAAACAAATGTAAATGATAACTGGGACACATTAAAAACCAATCTTACTAAACCAGTGGAAAGCAACATCCCACATAAGTTTCTAACATACAAAAACAGACTACCTTGGATTCATAACAATCTCAGAAAAATGATATATAGAAAAAAAAATCATATTATAAGATGAAATAAAACATAAAGTATGCTGATAAGTACAAACATCTTAAAAAACAAGTACAAAAAGAACAAAGATTAGCATACTGGGGTTATATTGAAAACATGATATTGGACTTACCCATAAATGAACCTGAACAACAGAGTAACAATCAGTTCAAACCTAAAAACAAAATATTTTCTTTCATAAAATCACTGCGCACAGATAACACCGGTGTCGCTCCTCTGAAAAAATGAAGGACAGTTAATAGCAGACACAAAGCTGAAGGCATACATCCTCAAGACACAGTTCCAATCAGTGTTTATAACTGAATCAAATAACAGCATTCCGGACAAAGGTCCAAGCTCACACCCCGTGATACTCCATTGGAACTATCATTACCTGGCGTCAAACTCCTACATAACATAAACCCACACATGGCAAGTAGCCCAGACAACATCAGTGGCAGAATATTATAAGAACTCAAAGATCAAACAGTTCCGATTCTTACACTAATCTTTAAAACTTCACTTGAAACTTGAATAACAGCAACGGATTGGAAACACGCAAATGTAGCACCAGCGTTCAAAAAAGGGGAAAAATACATGCCAGAAAACTACCGCCCGATATCATTAACGTATATTTCTTGTAAATTTAAGGAGCATATCATCACCAAACACATCATAAACCATCTTGAAAAGAACAATATACTTTATGACCTCCGGCAAGGCTTCCGTCAATCAAGATCTTGCGAAACACAACTCATTTCATTCATTTTTATGAACTTGCAGCAAATAATAACAGCAGCACATAAAGCCTTTGACAAAGTCTCTCATAAAAGACTGCTCTATAAATTAAACTATTACGGTATCCAAAAAGACACACTAAACTGGGTCTTTGCTTTCTTTAGTGACAGAACACAAACCGTTGTCCTGGATGGAGAGTATCTGACCTGGCTCCAGTCAACTCAGGTGTCTCGAGCTCTCAAGGCAGAGTTCATGGCCCAGTACTATCATCTACAAAACCATCAAATCACAAAGTGACTGCGATGCCCTACAGTTATAGAGTCATAGAACTCTTTCCAAAATTGGAAAGGGTTGATTTTGAGTTCTTCCAGGCAAAGTTGAGGAAGAAACACAGACTTGAACAAGTAGTGTTTAATTCCTTAAAGGATCTTAAGGCCAAAGTGAAATTCACCCTCTATATTAAACCTGCACAACAGCTAATCAATGTGAGTACAGTTAACTTGATGTACCTTTTATCTCCTCTAAAGAGCAGGTTTAGATATTGTCTGATAAAAATAAGATTGTGGAATTATTTATTGCCTGTGAGACAACAATACACCAGAAACCAAATGATGTACATGTAGGCAACTATATATATATAAAGGTTAAAGTAAAATCTTCAACAATGAGAAAAACACATTCTATTAAATGGGTACTTTTTTACAACTTATATGTGATTGTTTACTTTTCTAATTACTATATATATATAAAAATATTAATTTTCGCGAACCATTTAGGTCACGGAAATTCCATTTTTTGCCATCAGTAAGGAGAGTTGTACAAATAATGTGAATACACAGAACCCCGATCCAATTCATCTTTTGCTAAAAATATTTATCATTTTCTGTTTTATATCTCCTAACATCATTCCATTTTTCTCTAATTTCGATTAAAATATGCCAAAACCTGCAGTAAAAATAGATGTATGCCCCAAATAAACATTCCCCGATTGGTTGAACTACTATGGCGTCGATGTAAAGCAAGGCAAGCCTCGATGTAAAGCAACGCAAGCCTCGATGTAAAGCGCACGCTTCCCAAGAGTAAGGAGAGTTGTACAAATAATGTGAATTCACAGACCCCTGATCCAATTTATCTTTTGCTAAAAGTGTTCATCATTTTCTGTTTTGTATCTACCAACAACATTCCATTTTTCTATAATCCCGATTTAAACATGTCGAAACCTGCAGTAAAAATAGATGTATGCCCCAAGTAAACATTCCCCGATTGGTTGAAAAGCTGTGGCCTCGATCTTAAGCAACGCAAGCACACGCAAAAATTTCCGTTGACATGTTGAACTTTGACCCCGGGATTCAGCCGAGGTAACCTTCAGCCGATTCACATAGAGATTTTCTTGCGCTCAAATGTAATTCTAAGTGAAGTATACTGGTAAAGTAAAATTATATTCTTTTACAGAAGTATTTACACATTTTATCATTAATGTATTGTCATGCTACTGCATATTTACGCTGAGCTTTAGTTAAATATAATTCTATACAAATTTTGTTACGTCAAGCATTAACAGTAAGAATATATTTCGCGCCAAAACAAGAAAATAATCTGTATCACAAAATAAGTTTATCAGCATCTTTCTGAAATTTTCCAACAGAAAATAGCGTTAATTATAGAGAAATTTTGGTGAGTATTACTTATTAATGTTAAGGTTCTCCAGAGGTGGTTCTCTACACCTTCTTGGCGGTCAATTTAATCCCATTAATCAATTATCCCCGATGGCGATGACACCCAGTCGTTTTGTGTCATGAGCGAAAATCTTATCTATTTGATGAAATAACTTCTTCATTAACTGTACATGCAATATTTTTGTAGTTTTTGATAACCGTGCACATTCCCATAACATGTCCGCAAGATAAATGGGTTATGCATTTGTGAATTGTCGGTCAGTGCGTGATCACGTGACATTATTATTTGTAAACAAACGGGCTCCCCATGTAACACGTGTCGGAACTATCCATACAAGGTGCAATCAATCTTTTATTTCACTATTTGATGATATTTCTGTGTCTGTTTGTAGGTTTTGCAGATCAGATGTCATAGTGTAGTTTCATAGACAAAAAAGTACCATGATTGTTCCTGTTCAGTAGTTGTGATTTTTTTTTTATAGAATTAGAAGTTAAGTCTACATTAGTCATTATTTAATGAATATAAAAATGACTCAACTCTCTGTGTAATTTTTCCCCAATTTTTGAAACATGCATAATTTAAAGAGCATTTGCTTCCCTTGAACCCTCCCCCCCCCCCCCCCCCCCCCCCCCCCCCCCCCCCCACCCCTACCCCACCCCTACAAATTGCCCAAAACTCATACTCATAGTCCGAGATTAATGTCCAACATCTGTTTTTGCGATTCCGGCATTTTAACTCTTTTATTTTCAAATTGAACACACTCGGCCATTCAGCTTATTTGCATCATAAATGAACGAGGTGTTAGATTATGTTTTCCTATTGAATAAGGGTCATTTTCATAAATCAGCTCTCATAATGCATTGTAAATTACTTTTTCTGTTGGTCATGTCACAATGTTTTAAAGTTAAAGTTAAAATGCCAGTATTGATGTGTCAACTGTCCAAATATGAGAAAATAGCGGGTGGCAGGTCGATTAAACTTACTTAAATGAAGAGAAAAATGAACTAATTGAGGCTCGATAAGGGTCATTTGCATAAATCAGTTCCCATAATGTTGGTCATGTGACATTCTTTTAAAGTGAAAGTTAAAATGAGGGTGGTAATGGGGGTACCTTCATGACGAATAAGGGTAAAAAATCTTGCCAGATGACATTAACGGTAATTTTTGGTGCATGACGATAAAATGAAGACTTTCTTCAAGACGTTAAAAAAATTGACAGATTTTGATGAATCACGTTAATTTTTTCCCAAAAATAACGGTAACGATAATTATTTGAGACCTCTGATGAATCACGATAAGGATATGTTGACGAATCACGGTAAAATGTTAACATATTTGACACTAACGGTAGCCAAATTGACCGTTTGACGCCTGACGATAAAGGGCATTCATACCCTCTAAAATGCCAGTATTGATGGGTCAATGTGAAAACTGTCCAAATATGAGAAGATAACGGGTGGCAGGTTGATCAAACTTACTTAAATGAAGTGAAAAATGAATAAATTGAGGCTTGATTTATATGGATCCAGTCGCCTCCA